GGGCTCTGCTCTTTCCTCTGTCTAGTTCCTTCAGCGCCTCTATCCCCCTCGGTGACTGCAGTCACAGGGAAGCGAGTAGCGCTGAAGCACTGCTAGTGCTGCTGTTTCCTTTATAGCAGCGTGAACTGTGCTTAAGAAATTAGTCAGGCATTTAGGAACTGCTAATCCTTCTTGTGAAGAATACAAGGCTTGTTTCTTCCAAGGAATTCCTCACTGCAGGGCCCAGCACAGAGTTCAGTTTTACCTACTAAACCCTCTTGCAGCAAGACGCAAGACAACGATATCAAAGTAAAAATTAGGTTTTCACATAATGTCCTTTTCTCAGTGACAATTCTTTTGTGGCTCTTTTCTCCTACCACTGTTACGATAGACCACAGCGTATCATTGATGCACCATGAAAATAATTAAGCTAAAATAAATAATATGTGGCAGCAACTAACACTTCTTTCTCACAGTTTGTGCCTTACAAAAGCGCTTCCTAAATCTGCAGAAACTATTAATATACCTCGCTAGGCAAGACCAGGTTGATAAGAGAGTATAGCTCGGATACGCAACAACTTTGCCTTTACAAACTAGTCATCAAATTTTAGCAAATTCCTGCTTGAAGGGTCTGTACTCCTGTACAGACACTGATACACACTACACAGAGCTATGTGTGGAGAGTGAGAATGGGATGGTAAGCTGACTCTGGAACTACAAGCTTAGAACCTCCTAGTTTTCAATGCCAAGCTTGAAAATAAATCCTTCTGTGGCCTGCAGCTAGTGGTTTAAAATTCTCAATTTACAATATTCAGAAATGGAGTATATGTTAGTAGAGCAGCAACACATTGGATTTAATTAGTATTTATATATCTGCTCCTCAAAGAACTAGTAAATTATTCCAGTGTCTAAAACCAGTAACTAGAAAAATCCAGATGGTCTTCAAGAGGTAGCAGAAGATGCTTACTAGCATTCAAGCTTAGAAATACCCTGCAGGTCCTTTAATTATCACAAGTTTGGGAAACTGAGGCTCCAGCCAGGAAGCTTTCTAAGGAGTGTAACATAACACGTCCATAACAACAGGAAAACCAAGATGTTACACATAGTGAGAGCTGCTTTTCTCACTGCATGAAATTCTAATGTGTTATTTTACACACAAATTTAGTAGCAAAAGAAGGAATGAGAGAAGCAATGAAACAGGAAATAAGTAAACCTTCATGATCCTATGATCTTGATTTTAACTGAAAATTAACATTTTTGATGTTTAAACTTCAAAACTAAATTCATTTTGTACCTGAATTATAAAAGTGAAGACTCCTTTACCTTTTGTATGACTTATTTTTATCTGCGTATTGCAACTGTGGTTTGAAAGCCCTGCTAGGAGCTCCTGAGCTCTTTTGTCAATGCCCTACACAGGAAAGCGGCGGTGAAACCTCCTCTACCTGGCGCTTAAACCAATAGTGCCCCCTTGAGGACACTGGTTTCCTGCGCCTCCGGGAATAGAGAGCTCGACAGGGCTGCTTCAACCACCAGCTAAACGAAATATGTTACCTCTACCTGCAAGTAAGGCCCCCCAGGAAGGGGCCGCCTCAAACTATAATGTAGAGATACCATAAGAATACAGAAAAAAAAATCTGAAACAAGGAAGCATCTGACAAATACAAAAACCAATTATCTGTTTTGCAATAAAGACTCATATAAAATGTTGTGCTTCCAAACAATGAGAATAGGGGGAAAAAAAGAATCAAACGTCTGGGCAAGTAAGAAGGAGAGCAAAACTAAGCAGGCAAGATGTATTCTGACACATCGCATTATCAGAAGGAAAGCAAAAAGCAATGCTACAGCCAAAGTTTAGTGATATAGGAAGACTACAAGAGGAACAGTTTTTGCATATGAGAAATTCCAAAAATGTCATACGTATAAAATTCTGTAAGAGAGCTGCTAATTTTAAAATGAAGAGCAGCTGCTGCTGCTACAGGGTGTGCCCACATTGGGGAATGGAACACACTAATCGTACTAAGTTCGGTTACTGCTTATTGAAATGATCTGCATGCACATGATGCAAATCTCGGTACTAACTGGCAAAATACTGCACATCTGCTCTTGTTAGAAAGTAGCTATTTGATTGCACACTCAGTTGTTCCTGTTGGTTCATGTTGCTGCCTCAGAGCTGTGTATTATTTCACGGTCCTCCAGGCGCATTCCCATACAGCCTACCTTCTCCCAAGGCCCTGTAGTTTGCTGATCTCGTGTTGTGACAGAACTACACTATCTTTGTACTTAAGGGACTTGCATTAGACTCAGGTATCAAAGAACCAGGTATGCAAGAGCCTGGCTGAACCTGAAGGACGAACAGCATGCTCAAGTGGCTAACTAATCTTTCAGCTCTTGGGTCAGTGACCAATTCCTGAATACCCCAAACATCCCTGTTTTGCAGTAGAGACCTTGGCTTGTTGGCATTTGACTTTAGCCTCATCATATCTGCCACTACTGCATGTCATTAACATTACACTTTGTGATGCAGATTCAGTATATGTATGTTCTTAAGCTGGATATCACATATTAGCCTAATGGGTAGATGACAGCTAATGAGATTCTTCTCCCCCAATCAGGCATATGTAAGTGGTGACTTCAAAGGAATCTGTTTAAGAATCAGTCTTGCTCTGCATATCCGAAGTCATCTGTTCCTAGCCATCCAAAACATCACTTGGTCTCTCACAAACTATCAGGGTCTTTTTTCCAAGTTCTCTGTCCTGGTTTCTCAGCACCAGATACCCACTCATGTATTCAGCGGTTTCTGCACTGATGCTTTTGTACAAAAAAAGACCACTAGAGCCTTTGGGAATAAACAGTAACTTCTACACAATGACTTACTTGGCCACTGTCCCACCCTTTTATGCTTGTTTGGCTTCATAGTCTGTCCTTTTAGAGGTAGCCTTATTTCCCATCCATGGTCCCCTCTGGGGCACTGGATTCACGAATGAAAGTCCTGCCACAGAAAGTGTTCACCGGGTACATGGCAAGGAACTGGCCATTTGGTGAAGGTCAGCTGGAATCTCTCTGTCCTATTATAGATTAGTATACAGCACAGAACGCCACATGAGGCCTTTGGGAGGCATTTTGCAAGGAAAAAGTATTGCATTTCATCTGTACAAAAGCTTTCAAGACATATTTTTCTCATAGAAAATTCTTCTGGCACAAAAATGCATACAAACAGCACGGAGCCAATATTATTAATACCAAACATGCTAAACTGTATTTATTTCACTGAAAACCATGTGTATTTCTGCAGGGAATATAAACTTAATTTTAAGTAGAGGAAGTGCTCTATTAATACTCTGATATTACAATGCAGAGTTGCTTTGTTGTTCGCTGTAGAATAGGTAGCTAAACCCTTCCAGTCAAGTAAAGAATCAGGAAGGGCCTTGTGATCTACAGCAGCAAAGCAGAGCTGCCTGGTCTCATGTCAGCTTTCCCTAAGAAGCACTTTTTTTTTATTTTATCACACTGAACACATATTACCAGTATTAAGACTCCCAGCAGAGTTTCGGATGCAATTTCTAACATCCCCCCCAGCCCTTGTCCTCCATCCAACACTCTTCATGGCCTAAAGTCCTGCCAGGATTTCTGCAAGAGTGCAAAAGCAGGGATTAGCTTCACCCCATGAGCCTTGAAGCCCTGCCTGCCAACCCACAGTGGTAATATGCAAAACAGCAGCACTCCATAAACCCTTGCACAACGGCCATCTACTACACGCAATCATCATAAGCATCTTAGGAGCACGTGCTGAGCTCTGAGGCCCGTTGGGTATGAGACTATCCCAGTGCTAGGCACTAAGAAAACACCATAAAAAAAAAAAAGTTTTCCTAAGCAACTGAACAACAAAAAAATCTATTTTCTCAATTCACAAAGGAGCTACACCTCTTTAGGTAGAGATCCAACCAGATGTTAATCTTATCAAATGTCCATGTATGTAGGACCACAAACCTGGCCAGGCTGACCCTTGCAACAGCAGAGGGCTGCAGTAGTGGCACTTAGAAACGTGATGCTGAATGGGATGCCGATGCTGAACAGGAAGACTGCAGTGTTTGAGAAAAGGACTTGTTGGGCACAATAGCAGAACATCAAACAGCTACAAGGGTGGCCTTAGAAACCTCTTTATTTCAGCAACAGCAATTTATCTTAGACTGTCCAACTAGTTTTTTTTTTTTTTTTTTCCCTCCACAAAGCATTGAACCAGAAGCTAATAGTCGAGCACTGATGCCTTCAACTCCAAAGCAGGGTGACTTTCAGTCCTCTATCCCTTAAGAAGGTAGAACCAAGATCAAAGGGAAAGGCCACAGTGAATGACCAAGAGCTTCGAGCACTGAGAACTTCACATACGTCTGCCTTGCACTGTTACACTTATTTGAAATCACTGATTTTCATGCTATTCATTTCACTTCATTCCCTGTTTTCTGCAAAATCCAAATAGCCTGCTTGTTCACACCTTTGTAAAAAAATAGTATTTCAGTTTATATTATTTTATGACAGAAATTTATATGCTTTCTGGGGACAGTAAGACATACATTGGGTGAAGCAAGTCCCATATAGTGCCAGCATAGCTTCTGGATTTAAGTTCTACTATAAAGTAATCCATAATAGAGTAAGAAAATAGCCCAAAGTTACACACAGCACAACTTTATAACGAACATACCATAACAGCATAGTTTCCAAACTATTTTGCTAAAGTTATACCATTAAAGCATGAATAAAAATCCCATATCCTGAGTACATAGTCCACAAATTTAAAATACTTAATAAACGTGCTATTACAAAAATCAACTACGAGAAGTTACGCAAAGCTTAATGAAAACCATACCTGCGCTGGAATCCAACCACCAGTGAATCCCCCAAGCAGGAGCCCAAGCAGCCCTCTTTACGCTACTAGCATTTTGTCTGCTTACCACGTTGAGAAAGACTCCACTCCTCATCTCCCAGCTTTGTGAGAGTGGGACCTTCCTGTTCTCACACATACTGCTATGGCGAGGGCATTGCCAGATTCAGGTAAGGATATTTTCAGAGAAATCCTGTGCAGCGGCTCCTAGCCATACCAGCACAGCTTCTGGTCTCCCTGTATTACAAAGAGAATCTGGGGAT